GGGGGGGCCTGCAACATAAAGTTACACAGCAGGGGTCCTCACACCCTTGGACTCCAGACACCTAGAGATGGAATCCAGTCCCTACTCTGAATCCCCCTGCCCACTTTAGACAGACTCCTTGTCCCCCTGAGTTTTGAAGCTACTTTCCATCACCTTTCAAATTATTTTAAGGAAAGATGTAGTAAGAGAGCTAAGATGCACCGTCAAGTCAGGCATGTAAATGACTGTTAGCTCTCTCTATGTGCTAGGCCAAATGCACTGCCAGCCTTACCACACAGAATTCTTATGTTGAGCCTAGTAGCATCGCAGATCCCCTGCTTCACAGAAAACAGGACAGAAATAACAGCTAACCCAAGCAGTGGCCCTCCTGGGTCCACTGAACCCAACCTGGGCCTTACCATAGTCATAGATGCTGGTTTCCTTCTTTACAGATGAAGAAACCAAAGTTCAGAGAGGTTAAGTGATTCATTTTAAGGCGCACAGCTGGTAGATTACAAACCTAGAATTCAAATTTAACTGTTCAGGGTCCCAAATTTCAAGTCCTAAACAGGGAAGCCTCAACTGAAGGTTATTACCCGCTCTGTGGGTTGGGGCGGGGTGGGGACTTATGCAGTGGGAGACTGTGCTGGATCGAACTTAATAAACCTGATCCAGGCTGTAACTGCGAGGTAAGGGGCAAAGTCTGGGCCTGCGTCCTGGACCGAAGAGGGGGCAGTGTCTGTGAGCTCTGACCCTGCAGAGCAGCAGGGGACCGCGTCTGAGAGAGGTCACCTTGGAACCCAACCCGTGCGGGTGGAAAGGGTTCAGAGGCTTCAGAGGGTGGAGAGGGGCACCCTACCCTCCATCAGGGCTTCTGCTGGTGGACTGAAATTAATCAGACACCCCGCAGAGTCGCCCTGCATCAGACTTCTTCACCCTGAGATTCTAACATCTCCCCGGTCTAAAAAAAGGACCCCCAACACACACACCAAGAGGAAGGCGAAGGGTGGGTCAGGGCAAGAGCCCTATCCCAGGCCACCCGCCAGGCCTCCTGGGCAAAGCCCTCCTCTACCGACTGGGAGGAGGACGAACTAGAGGAAGGACCTCGCCCCTGGGCAGGAACTAGGGATCCAGAACCGACCTCTCCTGCACGTTTTGTGCTGCGCTCGTCCCAGAAACCTCGAGCATTTCCGGGCCTTCTCTGAGTCCCTTCGGAAGCGCTTGCACAACAAGCGCCCCCAGTTTTCTGGCAATATTAGTAACAAAGGCGGCGCTGCAGTGGGCATTTAATTCATGCTGGCATTGCGCTAGGGTCCTGCTAAACAGCAGCCCAGCCCTCGCGGTAACTTTACGGAAAGGGCTCCTGGATTGCCGTGGGTTCTCTGAGCGAGGCCTGAAGCCCACGCAGGTTAACGTCCCGGCAGGGCAGGGAGTGACCCTGGACAGCCTGGCTCGAGGTGGAGCTGTGGGGCTTCCTGAGCCCGCCCTGCCCGCCCATCTGCTGGGGTAGTGCTCCAGATTTCCGAGGAGAATGTTCGTTAATGTAGGCACCAGCCCTCCCTACGAGGTCCAAGACTGACATGAAACCAGTGCGGCTCTCGGATGTAATCCCTCGCCATCTGCTCGCCGCTGCTTTCCAGCGCGCACTTGCCCCATTCCTGCGAGTACTCGCCAAGGTCCGGAAGGCCGCGCTCACCAGCGTTGTTCAACTGCAGCGAAACCGAGGTGGAGCTCGGTGGCCCGAAGCATAGCTAGCAAGAGTCAGGATCACAGTGTCCAGCCCGAGAGGAAAGTTGAGAGACCAGAGGGGCGAGGTCTCGGTGCGCTGCGGCAGGCTAGGGTTCACAGACCCGGCCCAGGGGCCGCCTTTCCCTGCAGAAAGAGATCTGGAGGCAGGGGTCGGTACCAGTTTCTAGGGGGACTTAAGGCTCAAGAACAAGCAGAAAGTGGCGCTTTGGTGATGCACTTCGTCCCTACTACCTTTGGCAGGTGCATCTAGAGCACACCGAGAATGCCCCAAATTTCCAGCTTGCCCAGCTTCTGTACCCCAACCCTCCCGCTCTTGATGACATGCTCTGAATGCTTTTGTGAATCCGGGTAAGTGCAGCGGGAGCAGAATGACCTTTCAAAGTCTTCCCTTCCCGTATCTCTCTTAGACCAGTTTGCCTACTTTGGCCCTCTCTGCACTCTCTCGCTGTGCTGTTTCCCGAGACAGAGGCACCAGAGAACTCGGGCATCAGGGATTGTCCCAGTCCAGCAGGCACTTCAGTGCATTACCTTGTGGTCCAAACTCTGGCCTCACACTCAGCAGCCAGGAGCCTTGGGGTAAGCAGCCAACGCTTTCCTCAGAGAGAGGAAGGAAACCACTGCACACTCTGTGCCTGGGCTTCCTCCAGGACATGTTCACAAGTTCAGGGATCTCTCTTTCTGACAGACATGAACTTCACGGGGCCTTCAAAGAACTCTAGAATTACAGCAGTGCTATAGGCTATTAGATTTCCCCCACACAAGTGATCAGCCACAAAGATCATACTCAGAACTGATCCCCTTTATAACTTCATCCACTTTGTCTCTGCAGGACCAATTACCCTACTATGTGAGGTCACACGAACTGTTGTCTCAGAATCATCTTACATGAAAATATGCACAGTACTGGCTACTTTATAAACATGCAGCTGAAGAAAATGATTGTCCTAACACCTTTTTTTTAAACCTTGCAACTTTGGAAAACATTCATCCCAACTATCTTACAAATACCCTCCACACACACACACACACACACACACACACACACACACGTCTGATTAAGTAAAAAGTTGTTCATACCTAAACTGGATTCTAGGCCTGAGATATCCCAATGTCCAGATCATTATATTCAATGTGTTTATTCTTAAGGATTTATGAAGACTGTATTGGATAATTCTGGGTATTCTTCTTTTTTTAAGTGTAGATTTTTCTTACAACATTAGGGAATATTATGATATTTGGCTTTGCAGAGACGATCAAATCAGGCTGCGAAGAAGCTTTTCACTCAAGTTTAAGAAAGCAAAAGCAAGTTTCAATCCCTCCTGTTGTTTTGTTCGCTTCATTTTGTAAATCCATTGTTGTTTATAGTACTTATGATGTTACTATTATTTGTTTTTTGGTTTTGTTTTTTTGAGACAAAGTCTCCCTATGCAGTTCAGGCAGGTCTTGAACTCACTTTGTAGCCCAGCCAGGCCTAAACTCGCCATGATCCTCTTGCTGTGGTCACAGGTGTGTGCCACCACACCCAGCGTTACTATTATTTGTAACAACTTGATCTTTGACTACTTCTTCAAGGATTAAGACGGAAAACAGACTTACCTAACATTTGGCAGTTTTAAGTGGCTTGGAAAATCTGTTGAAAGCTTTGCACATGTTTAGGAAGATATTCTCCACTGGTGCTAACTTAAATAATGGAACACCTGCAATTTGTATGAATTGAAATCATGAAAGTTGGTTTTCACTCAAAAAGTTCAATTGGCAATAAGCAGGTGAGCAGTTAGAGTGTTTGGGTATATCCAAGGCTCTACCAAAGCAATATGAATCATCATTGTTATGATTACTAATTGATATCATTCCCATTTCCTTAGGCCTCAGCAAAGTATGCAGAAGCCAAATTCAAGCTGGAAAGGCATGAGCCTGCTTGCCCTTTGGCCATTCCCCTTCCCCAAGAAAACAATGCTTTCTGCTGTTCATCCCCAGCAACCCAGTTTCTCACAGTCTAAGTCCACAACTCAGGAGGCGAGCTGGAATCAGGTGCCAGTGCATGGAGTCTGCCCAAGAAGTATACACTGTAGCAACCAGTGCCTTTCTTTTAATTTCAGGAATTACAACCTGAAAGGACAGGGGATGGAATGGACCTCAGGTACTGAATCTTCAGGTGATGCTGCTCTTTCCCCTGCAGAAGAGATTTCATGTATGTAGAGCCTCTCAATTTGGTGGATTCCTATGGCCTATAATAAATCTCCTGAAGATTTTATTTGAGACCACTGGACACTCTCTGGTCCCTTGTCTGCTGGAAAGCCTGGTCCAGAGGACAAGGAGGCTCAGAGTGACTAGCTGTGGCCTGCACAAGGGCTGTGGTATCCATGTCTAGGAAGGACTTTGGTATGTGTGGATATGATGGGAAAGGAGCTGTTCATTGACAGATCTCTAGACAGTCACTTGGGGAGGAGTAGAAAAGCTGAGAGGACTCAGGAGGTCAGGATTTGTCAAGTGTAAAGCACTGCATGCTGGTCTATAGTAGATCACTGCAGTTTACTAGCTCTGCTAGAGATCATCAGAAGTCAATGAGTCAGTTCCCTACAACTCAGATCCAGGAGAGGATAGTAGAAGATAATAACAGAAAGCTTTCAAAGACTAGCTAGCTCTCAGCTGAGTTCTAACAGAAGTGTAAGTGGAGTTTGATTCAGAGAGAAAGACTTAAACTTGAGAAAGGTAGATAATAGTCATAGTGATGATAATAGTAGTAGCAGCAACGTTAAAAATGGGATCATGTGTTGAAGAGAGAAAATTATGAGTCAAGAGAAGGTTGTATGTAGGTAGGAGTATGAAGCCCATCCTTACAGGCTACAGAATTATCCACCATGGAGTTTCTGGCTTTTCCAGAACCATCTGGAAGTAGGCACTCATTTATCCCCCAGTGAACCAACTGTAACACTTAAGGTGAGGAACAGACCCAAAGTGAGCTTGCCATATATATTTATAAAAAAACAAATTGCCTCCAACCCCTGTAAACTTTTATTCAGCTCAGCAAGTCTGCCTATTCTTTTTTTTTTTTCCTTCAAGGACCAAGAATTGAACTCATGACCTTGTACTTGCCAGGCAGGCGCTTTGCTGCTGAGCTAAATCCCCAGCCCCAAGTCTGCCTATTCTTGATGGACTTAGATATATAAGCAGATAAACAAGCATCAGTTAAGATAACCCTCCAATTCCTCTTTTTGAACCCACCAAGTATCACTTTCCTAATAAAAGAAAAAGTGATAGGAAATGAGATGAGAACATCCAAGATGACATTTTTGCACAAAAGTGCTGTTTCCCCAACCCATCAACCTATTATTTCTGTTTCTTCATGTACATGTCAACTTTATCCCTTAGAAAGTTCCTTTTCCTGAACGGTGAGGGTAGGAGGCAATGCTTCCCCTTGGAGTTCCATTCTCTGCCTGCCTTAAACCTCCAGTTCCTTCCACAGATGTCCCTGTGGGAAATCCAGAAGCTTAGGAAAGCGCAGCCACCCTCTACTTCCTTGGCATCCTCTTGTCTTCTAGTGTAGTTTTCCTCCCACCACGAATTGCCACATTCTTGACACCAAGCTGTTGCTGGTGTGTTGCTTCAGAAATAGAGTAAGAGAAGGATAAACCAGGACCGAGAAAGGAATAGAAAGAGAAAAACAAAATCTTTTCATTTTTATAGAGTAATGATCTTTAAGTGATATTGGAAGTTTTTTCTACCGGCCTTCTGTTATAGATGTTAAGTTATTTAGGGTTCCATTTTTCAACCTTGGAGGAGAAAAAGCATTGCCTATTCTAATAATATTCAAGCCAGATTTCCTTTCTAACTCTTGCCCCACTCCCATGCCAGAACCACCTGAGGAGTCTTTTCCTCAAGGGCTCTTTGGTTGGAAACAACCCTGAAGTTGTCTGCACGCATATTTTTGCCATAGTAGTACAGAGCCTTGCTGGTGAGCTACTTACTCTTCATTGTCATTCTTCTAATCTTTAATTGGAAATAAAATCCCAGGGAAGAGAGCTCCAAAAATATGCATAAACCCATTGTTCCATGTCAATTACATAAAACTATTGACTGAAGGATATTTTTATAGTACTGTCTAAGGCTGAATAAATGCCTCAGCACTTCATTTGATACCAGTGAATTCCAGTAAGTGATTTCAAAGTAGTTTATGCACCATTTTAGCCAGTAAATTTAAAGAGAAATAAAAATAACGTGCAGACTTTCTGTATCTCCTATTAATGATCTTCATTTAGAGCATTTATGTTACCAAGTAAGATGGGTACCATGCAAAATACTGGAAAACACTCTAAGCAGGAACTTTAACTTAATCTTCCTCATATTTTAAAATATCAGTCATCCGGTTCATAAAACAAAGAAGCAGAAGGAGAAATCTAATTAGAGGACAAAAAAAAAAGTGCTATTGAGGTGAAATGTGTGATGGGCAAATTCTCAATCAATCTCTCTTCCTCTGATGTATGGAATTTAGCTGTTGTCTAGCCTGAGCTTGGAAAGCTTACCCACCCACAACTTAAGCAATAGAAATAGTCTTTATTTTATGCAAACTAGAAACTAGGTTTCAGTACCTTACAGGAGGCACTCTCTATACTTTAAAAGGGAAAAACTAGGCACATCAAATACGCCCGTTGACAGTTTGTTTACTAATTGCCCACCTTCTGAAGTAGATGTTCTGATATTCACAGTATTAAGAGGGTTATTTAACAGTGGCTTACATGGACAGATGACTTTTTCTGGGAAAGACAACTTTGTATTTTCTAAGTGACAGCCAAAACAGGCACAATGGAATGTTCTCTTTAACAGATTGGTGGAATTAAGTTCCTGAACTGCCTCCTACTCCAGCCCTAGCCACACCAGTGCCTGACTCTGGCTGTAGTGCCTATGGGACCACAATTCCCTATGGGTACCTGTCTAGTTTAAATTGCTGTTGTTCATGTCTGTGCCTCTCCTGCCCCCTTTTTACATTTCTTTTCTCTTCTCTTAGTTCACTTACATATCTGGCAAATATTCTTCAAACCCAGGGTTTTCTTCCATATGTTTGAGACAGTCTTTTAGCATTTCTAATTCTCTTGCCCTTTCTTTAAAGAATCGATGCATGAAGGGGTATGCTTTCCTGTACAGTGTATGAGAGAGACAGAGAGAGACAGAGAGAGAGAGAGAGAGAGAGAGAGAGAGAGAGAGAGAGAGAGAGAGAGAGAGAGAGAATCTGATATTTGATGGAGCTGCCAGTCATGAAACAATTAGTAGCTCAGCCCAGCTGCAGTCTTACACAGAGACATATGAGAGCCTTCACTACATGGAGCCTTGTTCATTAGGACTCACTCTTAGCTAAACTATTTAAAACTGCACATATTTGCATAACAGAAATGACACCTTAAGATGAAAGAAAACTAAAGTCCAAGAAGCTTTCTTTGAACAGTCGGTAACTAACTGGAAGTTCATGGAAAATTCTGCCCTTTCTCCCAATACGTGGAGCTTCTGTAGCCCTTCCTGCTGGAATCCCACCTTATTCTTAGGTAGAGATTCTGTCTGGTCTGAAGTCCGGGGAACTGGGTGAGGTGGTGGCCAGCAGAGAAGGGAATGGAGAGAATGAGGGAGTAGAGAAAGAAGGAAGAAGAGGAGAGGGATAGAGGAGGGAGAAGGGGAGAGACGTCAAGGAGGAGCATTCACGGTTCTTCTCTCCTCTTCAGTCTTCCCAAGCTGGCCTCCTGGAGTGGCCGGAACGTGGTGGAAAAGGCACTCAATGCCTTGCTGGTCCTCTGGGTTTCAGAGGATCCAACTAACACAATAAGCTGCTCTTTGCCAACTCCCCATAATGTCACCTTATTTCAGCTCTGGGGT